TATATTTGCATAAAATTTCAAAATGTATTAACAAATTATACTTAAATTAGAAGTAAAAGAAATAAGTCAATTCTTATTTTTGTCAAATGTAATATTTTTTACATTGGATATAGTTTAATAATAACTTTAGTTTGATAGAAAGGAAGTTTATTAAATTAAACGTTCCGTTACTGGTTTTGTTGTGGATTTCAAAAAATTAAAAGCTATTGGCTTTTCTTAATAATACATCATACAAATAGCAGTTGTTGATATAGGTTTTACTGGAGGAAATGCATTTCGAGTTTTTATAACCCCTCTTCAGTCATTACACTTTACAAAAGAAAGACAGATAAGAATTGCATCACACAAAACAATACATATAACATTAAAAAAACTTTTTGAACTTAAATGGTTGATTATTGGTTACAAATTGATATTAAAAAAAATATTGGTAAATTGACTGAGTAGACTCTGTTTACAAGGGTTGCAGTATGAAATAAAATAAAGCAGTTATAAAGTAAATAAAGTTTAAGACGGTTAGGTTATAAAATGGTATAGATTGTTATTACCTGTAGATGAATAGAAAATATGAGTTGGGTGATGTTTAGTTTATATTTACTTCAAATTTTTTAAAATTATATTCTAAAAATGTCTATCTGAACATGTAAAAAATCAAATAAATATTGAATTCTTAAATATTTTACATATGGTTACAGATTTCAATAATTTTATTCTTTATGTAATATAAAATTATTCCTTATTTAATATAGCATGACTGAATAATAACCAATATTTGTATAAATGGTAGATAATTTTATACAGTATTTAAATTCAACACATATTCATTATAAGTTGCAATTTTATTTCGGATACGATCCATAGTTAATTTTAAATAATTTTCTTTTATTAAATTCAGACACCGATAATTAGCAAACGATGTCGAAGCACATTTTCACCTTTTCCTAGCTCTTTTCCGAAACATAATAAAGGACCTATGACAGAACATCAAAAAGATCTTCCACGACAACCCGTTCCTCCATTGAAACCCTCTTTAAACAAATATCTTAAAGGTGTAAAACCTCTTTTAACCCAAGACGAATTTCATAAAACTGAAAAGGTAAATTTAAAATAAATAACTAAATAAAAAGAATTTAATGTATATCGTGTATTTTTCTAATTTCTGCACTTTAATTAAAGTTAAATATAAAATTTTGTTTTAAAAATAATTATGACTTAAATCACTATTTTTTTCCGATAGTTTTTACAGTATTTTCATAGTGTAATGTCGCGTTGTGTTTTATTTTTTTAGTTGGTTAATGAATTTGCATCACCAGGAGGAGTCGGTGAAAAACTTCATTCTATTCTTATAGAACGATACAACAAATTCGACAATTGGGTAAGTTGCATCGTTTTCATGTCCCATTTTCAGAAGTCGATCTGAAAAATTTTAAAATATCGCCACCATTTCGCCAGTTTTAATTTTTTTTGGTCACTTTAAATTATTTATTGCCGCCAGTTTTACTTACTAATTAATGCAAGTGTTGGTAGCCTTAAACTTGTAACATGTTAAACTGTCACTTACAAGGAAAGGACCAGACTTGTAAGTGGCCTACGTGTTGACCAAGGAGAACTGAGTGAGCACCAGTTTCTCCTAGTATTAAACACAACCAGTTCCTTGTCCAAATAATAGAATCACTTCTAAAGCGTTTCCAGAAAAATGGGCGTCTGAAAATTTAGTGTTTAACTTATAAATCTTTGAAAGTTTCATATCCGAGAATGGTGATAGAAGAACTAGACGATGTAGGTTCGATCCTTTAAAATTTTAGTTTAGTTCTATTTTACGTGTAACGTTATTATTACTTATTAGTGTTATTATTCTTCACATTTAAAGCATATAAAACAAGAGATAAAAAATTGTACCGTCGTTTCCTGTTTAAGGAAAACGAGCTTCCGTAGATTTAACTCTGACGTTGACATTTAGATTGCTTGCTTCTAGTTAAAAAATTTTCTTCATATTTATTTTCAGATATGGCTGTATTGTGACATTCGAAGTCTAACAAACATGAGCGCACAAGAAAATTGTCCATGATATTAACAATTAAAAAAAATAAAACGCTGCAACTGTTACCCTATTTTCATATTACTTGCCTTTATCCTCTATGTGCAGTAACGTCTGAAGCTTATTCGCTTATGGGAACACAGTATGTAAAATGTGTGAAAATAAATGTGAAGAAATAAAAGTTTTTATTTAATGACGTAAACGAGATAAATCTACAGAGACTTGTTTTCGCTAAACAAAAAATGACGTCACAATTTTAATCTCTTGTTTAAACTAAGATTTAAACGTAAGGAATAATAATAATAACAATGCGGTAAAATAATAAAGTTACACGTAAAATTAACTAAACTGGACCAAAATTGAAACTCCGAAGGTTCGAACTTACATCGTTTAGGTCTAGTACTATAATGGCCGAGCGGTTAAAATGATACCCTACTCCTCTGGGGAATCTGGGTTCGTATCCGAACGGGTTGAAAAATCCCCAAAAATTTTTCAGGGGTGATTCGTTTTGATATGTTGTGCTCTGTCTCGTTATGAGTCTGGACTAACCCTTAACAGGCTTGGTAAAAGAGTCCCTCTTACTGCCTACAAAGTGGAAAAAGAGTTTAAAGCGTCTTATTCACTCCTCTATCGCCATTTTGGGACACGGTACTTCCAAAGATATAAGCTACACGATAAATTGTCAGAGGCCCATTTTTTTGGAAACCGTTGAGAAGTGGGTCCTATCATTTTGACGACGATTTAGGGCGACTCACCAAGTTTTGTTTTAATCAGAGACCAGAACATCTGGCCCTGTTAGCATTAGGAATTATTTTTGAATAATTTTTTAAATGAATAATTCTGAATAAGACATATCATAACAATGTTTATACAGTATTTCACAGGTCATGTCAAAATTTTTGTTTTAATCTACTGAAAAAAAAAGCTCAAAATGATAAAAATAATCCCAAAAAATTCCCCAAAATTTATGTCAATCGATAGAAAATTCCAATCTGAAATGATAAGTGGTATTGCACAAAACTGCCTTCGGTTTTTGATGTCACTTCCTACTTTTCTGTGGTGTGACGTCATGAATCGAAAAATGTGTGGCCCGTGTCTCCCATTATACGGAAGACCAACATTTTGCTGTTTTTTCCGAAGTGTGATTTGAGATTTCAATTTCACGCTGAATGACGAAACAAGCGAACTACAATTTTTATCGCCAGTATTACATTTTTCTCGCCACTTTAATAAAAATATCGCCAAGTGGAGATTTTGCCGCTATGCAGCGCATCATCTAAATTTCGTTTTTGTTTAATTAACTTTTTTAGATTGAAGATTGGTGGTTAGAGTTGGATTTTCTCAAGAAGCGCTCACCATTAACAACATATACAAACCCAGGCATGGCTATTTCTTGTGAAAATTTCAATTCTATCGATGATCAAATCAGGTTGATATCACTTTTCTTTTTTTTTAATATTTCTGATAATATATGTACAGGTAACCTCCGTATAACACGGTAGTTACGTTCCAAAAATTTGCCGTGTTATGTGAATCCGTGTTATACGAAACAAAGAACTAGTACGAATAGGAGGGTTAGATTCCAAAAATTAAAAAACATGCTATTATATTTTCATAATTAAGATAAATATCTTTATTAAAATTTTTTAAGTGATACANTTTAAAAATAATTATAACTTGAATCACTATTTTTTTCGATAGTTTTTACAGTATATTCATCGTGTAATGTTGCGTTGTGTTTTATTTTTTAGTTGGTTAGTGAATTTGCATCACTAGGAGGAGTCGGTGAAAAACTTCATTCTATTCTTATAGAACGATACAACCAATTCGACAATTGGGTAAGTTTAGCCGTTTTTGTGTTTCATTTCTTTTAAGTGTAAATTATATTTTTCAAGATAATCATTTTATTTAACGTTTTATAGATTGAAGATTGGTGGTTAGAATTGGATTTTCTCAAGAATCGGTCACCATTAACAACATATACAAACCCCGGCATGGCTATTTCTTGTGAAAATTTCAATTCTATCGATGATCAAATCAGGTTGATATCACTTTTCTTTTTTTTTTTTAATATTTCTTATAATACATGTATATGTAATTCTGTATTTATATTCAGTTTTACTATTTATTCAGATTTTCTGCGAAAGTCTTGTCGTCAACATTGAAATATAAACAACTCGTTAATGAGTAAGTACGATTCACTATTTTAATTATAAAATAAACAAACACCACTTTGACTGCATAATCAAATATATATGTTTGTTAATTTAGTCATCAGCTAGAGCCAGATAAATTAAGAGGAATTCCAATGGATATGAGCCAATATTTTAAAGCATTTTCGTCTTGTCGTCTTCCTGGGAAAATTTGCGATCGTCTCGAACATTACGGAGAAGAAGATTGCCCTCCAAATCATATCGTGGTCGCTAGAAATAACAAAGTATGTGTAAATAAATCACATACTGACTAACTTAAATCCCAATCAATTAATACCTGTCATTAATTAATGTTGTCAAACCACAGTTGAACAGTAGATATTGTATTTTCAATAGTATTTTTTATTCAAATTTAATTTATTACATAATAGATAATGTATAAATGGATTACAAATTAAAAGTTTGAATGCAATATACAATATAATACTTTACTATTTGAAAAATTAATCTGTAAAATAATGTCAAGAAATTTAGTTAATTTATGCTAGATTTTTATGATAAATTAATCAAGAGATTTAGCATAAATTATACAATAATCTATTTTTAGTTTTTCCGAGTGGACGTTTATGATTATGCCGGAAATCCATTGAGTGAGAATGATCTGTTGGAACAACTAAGAATAGTTGTAAAGAAGTCTGAGACTGAAGGTGTTCCTGTTGGAGTTCTGACAACCAATTACCGTGAAATTTGGTCTGATGTATATGACAAATTATCTAAAGGTATTTAATTAGTGAAAACTTCAACATTAAAAAAAAGACAACTGATTCATTATAAATTATAACAAGAACTAAATAAATAGAATTTTTTTCCGACAGATAGTACGAACAAGAAACATTTGGACACAATCAAAAGGGCGTTATTCGTATTTTCTCTCGATAAATCAATTTCGAATGCCGAGAGTGACTCTGATAAATGGACAAATGCACTTCACAACGCAATTCATGGACACGGGAGCCATTTAAATAGCGGAAATAGGTGGATGGATAAAGCTTTTCATGTAAGCTATTATAAAATTACCCTAGTACCCTATAATATGTTAAATTTAAGGTTCACTTTACCTATAAGACTGTATAATTGTTATCTCAAAAGTATCTTCTTCGGGTAATTAATTATTCAATAATTGCTATTTTGTGTCTCATATTATAATAAATACATTATCATTCTACATTTTTAATATATTTGAAATTTATAATTAATATTACGTACTTATTGACATCAAATTTGAAATTAAATTATTATTACATCATTTAAATATTTTTATATTAGTTAATCGTATCTGAAGATGGGGCTTTCGGTTTGAATATGGAGCATAGTCCAGTTGAAGCGCATCCACTTCTTAGAATGACTGATTACATTTTGGATGATTTGTATGTTATATTTAGTTTAAATAACACTTATTTGGAATTGCTATTTCAAAAATATTAAATATATCTTTTAAGAATCGCTATAAAATTGTTAGAAACTATTTGAAAATTAAATATACGAGTATTTTTAATCGTAGTTGTTTAAAATATTTAACACTTGGTAATATTTAAACAATTTTTAATAAACTCATATTATTGACTTTACATTAATATTTTTCAACGTTATGCGTTACAGAAAAACGTCACAAAATTTAGTACCTTATGCCTCTCGCACAGTTCCTGAACCTCAAGAAATTATTTTTAATATAAATGACGATATACTGAATGATATAGAAAGGGCGAAAGAAAATGTAGGCAAGTAAGTTGTAATTGCTGTTATTCTATTGTCGTTCTTTCAACTTTNCAATTTTTTTTTTTTTTTTTAGTATAATGAGTAAATTTTTGAACGAAATCTATGGAAATTTTTAAACTATTTGCTATTAAAATACGGCTATTTTAGTAGCAGAATTATTAAAATAACCTTATTTTAACAGCACTGACTTTGACATGTGAGAACATTTTTATACTATCAAAATAATTACAATAAAATAAATATTAGATTAATTATTAAAAGATTGCAACTTTTATTTAAATCAATGCTTATTTATAATAATTAATCATACTTTCTTTCACGAGAACTAACGGATCTTTTATAGAATACTTTCGCATAGAGTATGAATTTGAATCATTCAAATTTATATCAGTTTATTGAAAAAATTACCTTAAATTAAATTTGTACTAATTAATATTATCTTATTATATTCGAAATTAATCAAAAAGTTCAGGTTTATTCGTGAATGAATTGGAAAAATATTATAGAATATTGCAGACAGGACGAGATGTGATCAGAGATTAATTCTATAATGCACTAAGTTGATTCATTCAGGAGGTTTTAATGAATTTTTCAAGCGATTAAAATTACTAACAATAATTTATTATCAGATTATTATCATTATTTATAGCAAGAAAAGCACGATTCTCTTCACAAAGCTTTAAAAGTTCATAAATTCGATGTTAACGAAGTAAGAATTATTTATAGAATTTACCTGTTATTTATTCCATAAATTTACAATACAATTTATTGTTTCTTGTTTTGAAGGCTTTGAGAGGAAATGGAATCGAATGTCTTCTGGTGGGATTAAAGAAAGCAGCAATTGAATCAGGCATGAATGTTCCCGATATATACAATGATATCGGCTTTGAATCATTCTCCAATTACAGATTAGTTTCTAGTCAGGTAATAATAATTTCAGGAAAAATTATATTTAGCGATAAGAAATAATTAAAAACTAAATTGGATAATTTTCAGGCACCTGTCAGAAATCCGGTATTTCCTAGTTACGGTCCTTTGGTATATGATGGTTATGGTTGCCCATATTACGTCTATCCTGATCATCTTAGACTTATATCATTATCTTTAAAGCAAAGTCCAGAAACAAATTCCGACAGTCTTTTGAAATGTGTTGAGATGTCGCTTTCAGACATGGAAAACATCATTTAAATTATTGAAGAAAGTGAATCTTTGAATTTTCNAATTTTTAATTATATTTTTAATTTATATAATTTAAATATATATGCTCTCCGCCTCAAATTACTAGTGACTGACCGCTGAACATCATACTTTTCCTTTACGTGCTGGTCATCTATCTTACATCGTTCAGGGAAAGTTTAGAATACATCGTTCAGGGAAAGTTTAGAATTAAAATATCATGACTTCCGGTTTGTATCGGAAGTTCTTCTATAGTTAATCGAGACTTCTTGCCACTATAATTTTCACTTCTGGTTTCGTCTTTTATCTATCTAACTCCGTACTCGAGATTAAAAGAAGACAGCCGGTCAGACAGTCGACAGTAGAAATTTATAGGTCCAAAGTTATTCAAATTGCAGCCCAATATCAATATTCCACAAATTTCGTTTAAAACGAAAGAAATTATATAAATGATATAGTTTTATATACTTATAGCAGAAAATGAATTCAATTCACTTAATCAAAACTATTGTATTCGTTTACAAGTTATAGAACACTAAAAGTATGTCACTTATCTACTTTAATCTAGGCAAAGTACTTAACTAGAAATACTTTATACGAAGAATGTCAACATCAAATACAATCAAGAGAAACATGGAACATAATTTATTAAAAGAATTTATTAGAAGAATTTATTTAAATCAAATCAATAAATGTTTCCGTTTAACTGTGTAAATGTAATGTAGAAATTTCCTTTGATATATTGCACAGAGTCAAATAAACTTGTTATTTTCCAATAAAATAAACAATCCAGCTTTAAATATAATACAATATTCTTAATGCTTACGAAACCTTAAATTTTAATGATAATTGTTTGAAAATGATTTAAAATGAATAGACTATTAATTTTGAGAAGATAATAATACTTATCAAATTGAATAATAAAAGAGCTGTGAAGTACAGTCTCTGTGTAACAATATCGGCATTTAAATACATATCTTTTCTACATTTAAATTCCATTTTATATTAAAATCCTAAACTAAAACAATACAGATAACTTAGTCCCCGTCTATTTTCGAACTTTTCAATCTTGTGGGCAGTAGAAGGCCTTCTTAATCAAGAACATTGTTCAAATCCACAACGGGGCGATCGTGTGGTAAAGAGTGGGTCCCGAAATGGATCCAAAGTACTACTAAAAAATTCGTAGGGGTTTTGGATCACCGAATTGTAAATGGTAATAACGAGTTAAATCGTCATTAAATCCTATCCCACTTGAAATAACCCACATGATCCTCTCTATCTCCGCATCCACTAAACTTTTACCCACCAAAATTTTATAAAGTCAATCTCCCTAATTTTCAAAACTTCCTGTAAGATTTCAAAAAATTTCGACAAAAGCACAGAGTTATTAAGCTTCAAATTGGGTGAACGAAATCGTACCCCTACACACAAACATCCATAAATACAGAAAAATCCCTAACTTTTTCATTTTTTGAGGTTTTAAGTGAAAAAATGTAAAAATCTTGGGATAATTTTATTATTGATCACTAAACTTTCTTGTTATATATAACAAACAGGAAAATAACAAATTTTCTTTATTTTAATACAGATATTTTTTACTTTTTAAAATATTCTTAGATATTCAGAATATTTTAAAAATAAATATTCTTATGTATCTATTAAAATGAAATCAGTGATTTTTTATCTGTCGGATAATTAATTTTAACTTATTCTTATATATTTCTTTTAACTTGTATAATTTATTAACTTTATTTACATAACAAAAATTAAATAAATTCTTTAACTATGCGGATCGAATTTAATTAAACTTATAATATCATATTGTACGATATTTGATTTGTAAAGTAATTTCATTCAAGAATGAAAGGAATGAATCGCGACTTTATATTGTAATGTAATTCGGTATAATAGATATAATCCAATGTTAACCTCGAACAATGTAAAATCGATATCTGTTAACCATTGCTTTCGTTTGCTCAGGTAGATTCAAAACGAATGACACGACACACTTGACATCAAACAAAAGGCCACTTTCTTCAGTAATAATGCAGTAATAATACGAATTTTCCTTTATAAAATATTCAAAATGGTTAATACATGTATGTATTGTTTGCTTCAACCCACAATATCAATATCTGCACTTTTTGGCGATATATTTTACGAGAGATGCGAACATTATCCATTGAGCCATGTGCAAAGCAAGCTTTTACCTTTCTATGGAAAATACGTAGAAGCTATGTTCGCTAATCAATTTATATTAGCATTCGTTCAAGAATTTGCTACAGACGATAATGTAATCGCTTGTAGTCCAATAAAAAAGATAAGCGGCCAAACTAACGATGCATTTCTAAGAATTGTCTTCTGTTTAGTTAACCTAGGCTGTATTATTCTCATGCATGTAGGTAGAATGAAAAAAATACGTCCTAAAATGAAATTATCAGGATATGAAGGAGAAGAAAAAAAATTAATTGAATATCAGTCGTTGTTGAATCCTTTCTTTGGTATTTTTTTTTTATGTTTTTGTTTTTTCGAATTATATGTTAATTCATTCCTAATGTCTGTTAAGGTAGAAAGAGATTCGAGCTATGCCAGGGCACTCATTTGTTCTGTTTCCCTACATATCAGTCTTATATATCAAGTAGGTTTGTACATGTGGATCACATCAATGGCAATCCTTGTTGGCTTAACAATTATCAATAGATTTTCTGCTTTGTCAGCAGAACTGCAACAGATGAAAGTCAATTGCACATGGCAAAACATAAACGAATTAATCGCTAAACATGCAGAGCTATGCGATTACATAAATCATATTAATGATAGTTGGAGCGATCTTTTTTTATGTATGTATGGCATTATAATTTACATGTTTGCGTTTGTAATCTACAATGCTATATTCTCTGAGTTAAGCCCATTATTTCGTCTAATGATATGTTCGTTTGCTGTATTTGCTGCATATGTCGCTGTGTTATTTTCATTCGCATTGTCTCGAATATCATCTGTGGTAAGTATTGGGCATTAATAAATTCGCAAATTATTTTTATAATCTTTCTTATCATTTCAGGCATATGATTCTTTTCAAGAAGTAAAAAGATTAGAGGTGGTTCCAAAAGAATTAAGAAGAAAAATTAAAGTTAGTGAATGAAATTATAAATTTTTTAAAAAATATTTTTATTTGTTGGAATATATTTTACTAATGGTGCATTACGTTTTATTATTTTAAATATTATAAAATTCGTTTTTCAGATATTGAGTTTTATGAAGAAATTCCGAGAAAATGAAATTGGATTTGCTTGCGGCGATTATTTCAAACTGTCTAAAGAATCTCCTATACAAGTAAGTGATTTTTGTTAAATGCGCTGAGAATTTTTAAGGTTAATACAACTTACTTCAATATATTTTCATTGATGTATTTTAATTTATTTTACAATATATTTATTAAAATTTCTTACTTCTGTCTTAGCCCATAAGAGGCGTAGTGGATAAAAACCACAGAAAACTGGTGATTGGCCGCGTCTTCGCGTCTCACCGATGACTTGGACGCTTTGAGTTTTCTAGGTTTTATTCAGGCATCTACACCTAAACGGGGGCCAGTTTCCCATACGAATTCCTTTTTTTTTGGCAGATAGCATATGCCAAATCCTTTCAAATCTAAATCCAATCAATCCTTTCCATCCTATGGGCATAAAAGGACTTTTTTTCATGTCCATCGTAAATTTAGCCACGCCCACAAAAATATGACCCAGTAGTTAAAATGTTATTGCATTTATCAATATTTTACTCTGAAAATGCAAATTTCAAAACAAAATTCGAAATTTACTTTTTCAGAGAATCATTGGTGTCGACTTCTATAGGCTCGTGGGACCCCAATACAAAAGAATTTTTTCTTTGTAATTTAAAACCATTTGTGTAGTAGCATACAATACGGTATTCACGAACCGTAGCTTTTATTGCTGTATCGGCTTTTGCAAATTTCTTAAAAGTCACGAAAGTGTTGCTTCTCTTGACTGACTTTGTTAGTACACATAGCTTTTCACAACATCTGTAGAATTCAGCTTTTCTAAAGACGAGGAAAGCTCTTATCGTGAAAATATCTTTAATACTATCCAGTCGTATAAGCGAATGTAACACTGACTCTGATAGATCCCTATATACTTTCTTTCGAGCTTTTACAGCCACTTTGAACCAATATATTTAAAATGTTGGCCTCAATACAAAGACAGGTCAGTTTACAAAATTTAGCACATTTTACCCTTAATATTTCTGCAATTTGTGAAATGCTGTTTACCTCCTCTTGTTACTGTAGGTCAAGAAAAAAAAATACATAGCCTTAATATATTGTTGAATATTTATTATATAGTTCATTCAATCAACAAATAAAGTAGAAAAGCCCAGTGTGGCTACGATGCTTACACTCTTATTTTCATCAATTTCAATATTTTTTTCAAGTAATAAATAAACAATCACCTAGACCAGGGGTCGGCAACCTGCGGCTCGCGAGCCACATGCGGCTCTTTGGATGTGAAGCTGCGGCTCTTTAGTTCCATACGCAAATATTTATTTTATAAAAAAAAAAAACATTTAAAAATCGTTCTGAATCGATTAACGAGGATTCGGCACCGATTCTATCTCTCAGCCACTTGTACTCGCTTTTCATCGCACCCCTCCCCCGTGACACGCGTCGTCACTGTNATAGAATATGAAGGTACGACCTCTTCAACGTAATTTCGTATCTTCTGTCGCTTAGATTTTTTACGTTCATTGGAAACAGCGATGCCAACCATTAAATTTTCATACCTCCTTTTTTTATTCTCTTGTAATTCTTTAAATAATATGTTACTTTCTAAAACTGAAATCAGCGAACAAGGGACAGCGTCCATTTTGCTTCAGCGACAAGCGTTTGTAAAATGCCGTGCAGCGACATGCAGCGGTTGCTGCTCGTGACGTCATTTACGCTACATTTTCGCTGCATAAAAACCAAGCAGAAAAATCGAATGGATATAAATGCAGCACGTCGTCTCTCAGAAACAAAACTGCTACCACGAATA